AAACAGTCGAGCTTTGAGAGACATTTTGCAAGAAACTATTCAACTTTTGAGGAAAGGTTTTCTGGCGGAGATGGAAGGAAAGCGGCTATAGCTGAAAGCAGAGCGAAGTAAATCTGCGTTTTAGTTCATATCGTTTAGCCTATATTAGGACATTAACACATATTGAGGCATACCGGACATTAAATGTTGTGGCTGCCAAGGTGGTTTGATTTTTGTTGAAAGGACAACATGTCTGTTCTTAACATTTGGGTTGTGACTCCTGATCTAACCTGGCTTTAATGCAGAGGGAGCCGGTAGGATTTCTCACTCATCCAGTTGTGTTTTTGTTATGTGTACGACATAGAGTGGCGCTGCGCTTCCGCACTTACAGGTTCCGCCTTTTGCGTTCCGTCAGCATTACGTTACAAATTGAAATTTAGAAAATCGATTTTTGACATTTGTGAATCGATTCAGAATCATTCATGCATCTAAGAATCGATTTTTTCCCGCACCCCTAATATACATACACACACACACACACACACACACACACACACACACACACATATATATATCATGGATTTTTTTAATTTTGTTTTTTAAAAACAAAACACAAGTCTTTTCTACACACAACAAAAGCACAGACCTAAGAATCATTCATGCTTTATATAACATCACCGAGCCGCTGGTTAAATATCACTCTAATACACTGACAGAATTGTATTATTACATAATTAACAAGAAAAAAAGGCCACAGATTTATATTTCCATCACTTTCCTTTGGAGTGTGTTGACATTCCAGGTCAGGCTCTCGCTTTCACACTGCAGGGAGTGTCTCTCCTGAAACACTGAAACAGTTTGATGTGAAGTGCTTTTAATTAAGATGTATTACTCGATCGCAGAGGCGCTGACAGTTTCACACAACCTGCCCATAAAGAATAGAACTGAACGCAAACGTGTTCCATTACATAACTATGTAATCCGTCTCTGTGGGAACAAAATCTCATATCGCCAAACATGTTTTTAAAGGGCTCATTATTTTTAATAAAAAAATTAATGTAGTATGTAAACAAAGTTTCCCCAGTCGGTACAGTATATATATATATATATATATATATATATATATATATATATATATATAAAAATGTGTGTGTGTGTGTATATATATACACACACACACACACCACATACATATTTAATCAAGACCAACCCACTCACACTGACGTCATAAGGAGTGTTTCAGCCCAGGCTGCTTTTTGAACAAGGTACAATACAGGGCAGCCAATCAGAACAGAGCTCATTTACATATAGTAGTGGTAATGGAGGGATAAAGAGAGGTTGTAAATTGATCATGTAGAAATTGTTTACCCAAAATAGACATAAAATTACACAAATTTCATTAGTGGACCTCGAAGGAAAGAGTAAGAGAGAACTATTTTCATGCCTAAAAGGTTCTTTGCATGGTGAAATGGTTCTTCATATTGATGGAAAATGTGTTATATATGATTCTATATAGCACCATTAAGGGTTCTGCTATCGCTACACTGTCAAGCTTGTAACTATAGAAGAACACATTTTGGTGCTATATAGAACCATTTTCAATAAGGTTCTATATAGAACCATATACAACACATTCTCCATCAATCTGAAGAACCATTTCACCATGCAGAGAAACAATTTAAGCATGAATATTTTGTCCCAACAGTAAGTTATTTATTATATATAATAAGTAATAAGTAGTAAGTAATTATGTAAACTGGATGCATAGCAAAACAACAACTCTAGACACCTTTAGGGTTAATTTTGCATTAAGAGCTCTGGATGTGGATTTATGTTTATTTCTCATTTCCCTGTACTTCCTCACACCAGCAGGTGGAGACAAAAACAATGTTGTAAACAGGTCAAAGTTTTTGGCAAAGATTTTATTGCAATTCTCATTTTACACAATTACTGTTTATACTGTACAGTGCATGTTTGATCTTTTATGTGCCTGTAATATTTTCTACTACAATCAAATACAGTCAAGTGTCTGTATGGTATAAAATCATTAACTGTAGATATACGCTACCGGTCAAAAGCTCGGAATCAGTTTTCATATTCTATACAGTGCAGATTTAAATAGTCTAGACGAAAAATGTATTGTTAGATGTTTTATTCAATATTTCAAGTATCCCAGCAACAATAAGTAGTTATTAAATGATAATATACTGTAACTGTTTAGAAGAAGTCTCCTTTGAAATACAAGTCTTTATGGAAATTAATTAATCAAGACGCATGTAACATTTCTTAATTTTATTAATATTCCTGTTAATTGTTTGTAATGATATAAACATGTGAACATGCTGGTTTTATATTATGGAAAACACTGGTTCCAGACTTTTGAACGGGAGTGTAGAGACCAAAAAAAAAAAATCAAGCGTAATAAACAGGAGACTGATTAGAGGTAAATCTCCGCCGCTGCTGAAGAATAAACCTTCATGTGCATAATCTGAAATGTACATTCAACATTTGAGATGTTTAACAAATATAAAGTGTGCCATCATTAATAATATACCAAATAAATATGCAACCGTCATGTTTATGATCAGTACAGTCTTCAGGAGCTGTTCCGGTTATGCTTCATTCAGATAGCAGACTAAACTTCATTTAACCTGAAATGAGAGCTGTTTACTGAAGGACAGTGTTCATAAGGCTACATAAGCCTTTCGTGACAACTGACATACATCTATATAAATGTTAATAAAGACTTATTCCAACAAGCGTTCGTTATCATAACACTTGCTAGTGTGAAATGACATCAAAATCGACTAAAGTGGCATTTATGACAGCTGATGCTGCTGGAATAAGCCTTTATAAATGTTTATGTATGAGTCCTGTAGGCTGTTGAACGCTGCCATTCAGCAGTGTTGCTTAGTTTTTTAATCAGACTGGAAGATTTAAGTGAGCTTAACCCCTTAAACCCCTTAAACCCAAGACTTATTACTCAGCAACTAGTGTGAAGATAAACAGTGTCCAGAAGTTCTGATGACCACATTCAGGTACTTTAAAGGTGCAGTGTGTAAGATTTAGAGGGATCTATTAGCAGAAATTAAATATAGTAAACAATTTCATTGGTGTTTAGTCAACTTTTAATAAGAATCGTTGTGTTTTCATTAGCTTAGAATGAGGCCTTCATATCTACATAGTGAGCCGCTCCAGAGAACTTGTAGAGAAGAATTTCCACTCTGTAATATCTTCTGGGTTTCTCAAATACTAGGGGGCGTTCCCAAGCGAGTCCAAAATGAATGGGTTGATATGGAGCATTTGAGCAAAAACATAGTTTATAAATGCTGAAACATTTTTAATGTAAAAGAATTCGTTCATTTCCTGAACACAGAACAGCATAAAACATTTAAACGCCGCTGTTATATTTTTAAGAGCTTTTAAACTCGAGTTATAGGAGTTTAAAATAGTGCCTCATGTACGTTCATGACGTCAGTGAGCGCAAACAGCCAACGAGCCGCTCTGCTCACCAACCAATCAGCACTCAGTAGCAGTAATGTTAGCGTCCTGCTGCCCAAAACCCGTTTGCTGTAGTAAAAAGGAAACATACAAGTGAGTTTTCTTTGCTTTTTTAGTGAAATAAATCCTTCTACTGTCTAAAACTAAAGGAAAGTTCTGGGCGAGTGATTAGAACTTTTTGTTTTTAGCTGTTTAGCTTCATTTACTCCCATTCATTGAGGACTCACTCGCGGGCGCCTCTGGTGTTTCACAGTCCAGTTTTTGATATAATGGGGGAAACGGGAAGTGGCCAGACTCCTCATAAACCGGCTCTGGCGGCTCCTCTTCCAACAGAGGCCACCAGGTTGCGCCGCCATGTTTCTACAGTAGCCCTGAACAGACAAACCAAACTCTGGCTCTAGAGGGCGCCTTTCACGCTTTTATGCTGAAGCAGCAGCTTGAATTTGGGTCGCTGTAGCTCCAGTTGGAAGACGTAGAAAGAGGAAGAATCAGTGGGTGCTGCCGGTTCTGTTGACCGTTTTGTGTTGTGAGAAGTATGAGATCCCAAATTTTGACAAATGGAGGATCAGATTTATTATTTAGCACAAGAAAAAAAAGTGAGGGAGGGTGAATCGTCTGTGTCAAAGAAGAGAAAACGAAGTGAAACAAAATCAGGACAGATGACGGCAGAAAACCTGACGATAACCTGCTGTAAATTGTACTACACGCTTGGAAAGGGAGGGGTGAGGGAGGGGGATTCAGCTGGTTGCAATGTGAAACCTCATCACTAGATGTCACTAAATCTTACATTTGTAGAATGGGACGCTCTGGAGCAGCTGCACATGAGCCTATAGTCTCCATGCCCAATGCCAAGCATGGGCTAGAGGGGTATAAAGCCCCCCAGCATTGGGCTGTGGAGCAGTGGAACTGTGTTCTCTGGAGTGATGGAGCTCCATACAGCACTTTTGGGATGAGTTGGAGTGATCCAGCACTGACCATCCAACATCAGTACCTGACCTCACTAATGACCAATCAGATCCTCACAGCAATGTTCAACATCTAGTGTAAAGCCTTCCCAGAAGTGTAGAGGCTGTTACTGCAGCACAAACTCACTATTAACACCTTCATTTCAGTGGAAACTCTTGGACAGTGTTAATAAATTATGCAGTTATATGAAACGTGAAGCCTGTCTGTCACCTGTAGTGGACAGTCTGTAGGAATCTCGTCACATTTCATCGTAGTTAGAAAAGAACAGAAGACCTGATGTTTTTTAAATGTGCAGTGATACATGAGAGGGAGTGCTGTACCGCCAGATTTCACCAGGCAGATCACCTCTCGGGCTGAGGGGCTCCTTTCTCCACCTCATACACTGCAAAAAAGGTGTCTTGTCAAGTGAAATGATCTTAAATCTGGTCGATATAGATAACATTTCTCATTTTGAGATGGTTGTGCACTGATTATATGATTATCTAGCTTATTTCTAGACATTTTTTACTCATTTTAGGTAATTTTATTGAGTAAAATTCTAACTATACTGGCAGATAACTGATTTCACGCACATTTCTTACAACAAGCTAAATTATCTGCCAACATAGTGAGATAATTTTACTTCATAAAATTACTTATACGATAAAATAAAATTACTTTTAAAAAATTATATTAGATTTATCGACTATATTCAAGATAATTTTACTGGACAAGATGCTAGTGCAGTTTTTGCAGTGTAGGTCAGTTTTCCTCCCATTTTTGGCTAGTTTACTGGGTTTTGATAAAAGGCAGCAGGTTTAATCACTACATCTTTATAGTGCAACATCAGCCAGATGTGGTGGGCAGTATGACTAATCATTATGGTGATAAATTACATCACATTATGTTACAAGATGCATTTCTGTACATACATGCAGTGCAAGTGTAATTCTGTTTAATTAGATTTAGTGCAGTGAGTGAAATAAAAGCCCTGCATGTGTCGTTCATTGTGCTTCTGTGTCTGTTCCAAATGATCAACCCTCAGAAAAACTGATATTGTGATGCTTATTGTGTATCGTGATGTAATAATTTTTGCCATATTACCCACCCAACGTCGCTTATCCTGGCCTAGAAGCACTCAGAGTTCATCGGGGACGAAGTCTCAGTCTCCTGTTCTGTAGTAATTCCATATCTTTGGAACCCAAATGAAGCTCTATGTACATTTACGGGTAAACAAATGTGCTGATCTGGTGAATTTTGATTGGCTGTTTCATGAAACTTTTCAAAAGTTGAGACGAAACTTTTGCGAGTGAGTTTCAGTTGAGCTGCAGGCTTTACATTATACAACTCTCGCAATTAAGCGTAATGCAATGAGTTTCATCATGTAAAGCCAGCCTTGAAGAGATCTGGTCATTACTAGGAGATACTGGCACCCAGAGTGCCTCTCAGCCAATCACACTGCGAGGTTGAAACGGACTGTGGTGTAACAGAAGCCAGTGGGCAGATGTTTAGAGTTCATTCTGCCGTATTTAACTGTAAACTGCAGATGTGACAGACAGGTTAAGTTGCGAACTCTTGGAGGGTTCCTTTAAGTGTGCAGGCCTTCAGGGTTTAAGGGGTTAAGAAAAACCTTTCATGCCTTTATTGCGTCAGTTGTGATTATGAGGAGTGACCAAGCAGTCAGTGCTAACAGAGGCTGAAGCTTCTGACATCTACAAAAAGTCCACCTGATTTCAACCAGAAGAGCGCGGTGCGTCCGCCCCCCCGGCCCGAGGCCCGTTCAGTCCCACTCGGGCCGAGGCCGTGGCCTGACATCATTTGATGCGATGGCGTACGAGCGAGGACTGGTCTGTGATCTCTTCGTCTCGCTGCCAGCGGCGGCAGGGCACCAGCAGCAGGATCAGCAGTACAAGCAGCACCAGCGCACACAGCCCCATCAGAGCGTACGCGATGACCCACAGCAGAGGCTCCTGCAGCGGGTTACTGCCTATACAGCCACCGTCCGCCGGGAACGGCCCCGCTATCTCTGCCACCAGCACCCCGTCGCTCTCTGGAAGAACAGGGAGAGGCTGTAGGAACCAGCGGCAGAATGATCGGGAAATTTGAGGCTAAAAACACCAATAATTTGGTTTTGGCTGATAAAACTTTTACTTAAATATTACATTCTAACTTTATACTCCAAACGTTTTAGTTAAGAGTGCTTTACTGGCAGCTTTCATACTTTAATAGTAATATTTTAGCACCGGGGGTGGAGCTACACAGAATTTGGCTCAGCACAATGATATTGACATCTGCAAATAACTACTTAAAAATGTTTTGCCAAAAAACAGCTGTTTATATTCAACTGATATTTCAAACTGTATCACATACTGTAGCTCCAGTACTACTTTTGGGATAAATTATGTAAATTGAATTTTTTGATTTCTTATTCATAAAAACAGCTGTAGCTCTGTGTTTAGAGTACTTAGTTGTGGCTTAAGATGGGTCGCATATTCCTTAATCCAGGTGCTCCAGGGGTTCCCAATCTCAGAACCCTCACTAAGCACGTTTTTGAGCTCTGTCTCATCGAGCACAACTCTTTAATTGATTTATGAGCTCCTCTCTGGCTGGATCGGGTGTGTAAGAATAGACAGGACACAAAATCCTGCAGAGCCTGGAGTCACCAGGACTGAGATGAGGAACCCCTGCCCTAAACAAAGAGTCTGACCCGAAGTTAATCTGTGAGAACCTGTTTGTTTTGGACAGAAGCACTGATCGATTTCCAGTTTTGAGGAGGTAACAGTCTCTCACAGTCAAACTTACATATACTTTCTATAGTAGAAGCTCATCTCTGGTGATTTGAACCTACTCACCAGCGCAGGTGCTCACAGCAAAGCCCACTCGTTTGTGGGCTTGGTCAAAAACGACGTAGAAGCCCTCCATGACTGTGGCGCCAATCACCAGCCCGTTGGTGGAGGAGGAGATGCCAAATCGGTAGCAGTTCAGCGTGCCGTCCACGTCTGTGACCGGCTGGATGTAAAGCTGTGGATGGTTAGGAGAGTTTATGTGAACAGAGACAAGGAGCTTCATTAACTTTCAAAACTCAGTAGCAGTTTAATACATACGTTTACACATCATCACTGTCCAAAGAAAACATGCATCTCCATTTCTGTAGATTTTTATTCTTCTACACCAGCTGTTCTTTATGGTGGGTGAAAATGCTCTAAAATCACTTGTAAAAAATCTCTACACATTAACTCACATTAAAAGGTAAGAGAGTTTTTGCCCTCTGCTGTAAAGTTACTATTTTGGAGATACTTAATTTTATTTAGACAGCAACAATATATTACATATGTGTGTTTGAGATATGAGGTTTATATATATATATATATATATATATATATATATATATATATATATATATATATATATATATATATATATATATATATAAAACACCATTTAGGCAAAACTATTATACAGGGAGATTAAAAAAGATTTTTCTGATTTCAAAATGATTTATTTCACTTGTAAATCATTACAGAACAATGCAGTAAACTGTAAATGGTTTAAATGAGCAGAAAGTTTATTATGGAATGTTACCAAGTCTCAGTATGAACCTCCTCCAGCTGTACGGACAACATGAACGCCATAGTCAAACTCATCACATACTGGATTGAGCGTGTCGGGTGTCTCTGCACTCACGGCTCTTTCAGTGCGATTTCGGAGATCATCCAGTGTTGTGGAACCAACGACAAACGCTCTGAGCTGTTGGAGGTTCACTGCCCAGGAAAATCACGCTGCACAGTTATGACGGATTCACTCTTATTGAAGTGGAGAACGCAGAACGCTTTCTGCTCAGGGGTCGCATCTCCTCGCACACTGAAGGGAGCCATCATCCACTGACAGTCAGAAACTCTATGACCCCCTCTTTCAATTGGAATGTGATTGGTTCCTAGGCGCCTCGTGGTTGTAAAAATATGCCGCTTTGAAATCGGATTAATCTTTTTGAATCACCCTGTATATAAATATAGCTCTAGTTCCCCAACAGCTGAGTGATCTGCTTGGTGTGACTCTGACCTGTGGAAGAACAGTGAGACGGAAGGCCTGGCTGGTGTTGGTCGCTCTGAGGTAGATCGAGATTTTGGGGAAGAACCTCCACGGGGAATCTCCTTTTACCCAGCAAGCTAGCTTGGTGCCAGCGAAGAAACCCGAGGAGAAATCCTGGATCTGGTGGAGAAGAAGGTCAAAAAGCTCATCTTTTAAAGACCACTTACTGCAGAGTTTATATTTCCATTAACTCCTGCAACACAGTTCCATCAGAGCAGACAGTACAAAATGACTTTAAAGGGCCATTCAAGCTTAAAACTACAGTTTAATATGTTATTTGCCAAGTAGTACTCTGTAGTGAGGCATTATATCCCTCATCATTACATCATTGTGTTTTCTCACTACGTTACCCAGCATGCATTATACAGGTACATCATACAGCCATTGGAAATCTCTGTAGTGTCACCCAGTCGTTACTGCCAGCTGAGCCACTGAGCTACAGGCTAGTAAATAACCCCTAGCATTGGTGTAACTCTTAGCTCAAACTAAATCATAAAGAAAACAGAGATTCTGTCTTTATTCAGCATTAAATGAACCAGAGACTAGTTTTAACACTTTCAGCTACAGAAAAGGAGCCAAACTGAGGGCAGATACGTAGATAGCCAAGCTAACTCGCTAAATTTAGCTTTTAGCTTGTTCTCTTCGTCTGAAGAGTCATTAATGTGGTTTATGTAATCCATTCCCTCCACTGTAGTGATGATTTGAAGACAGTTATTACATTTATACCATGATTAGCTTCCTATAAGTTATATTAGCAATCTGCTATCTGCGTTCAGCTAACGAAAAAACACCTTACCAACAATCCACAGCTGTTTTTTTAAGTTTAGTTTTATTATTATTATAAGTTCCTCCTGTCTCCAAGATATATCGACAAGTCCTTAAGCTGGATTATAGAACAGTTAGTTCCGCCACACAAGTTGATTGGTTGAGAAGCGTTCTAAAGGTGCTGTTATTTCACCACAACATCACGGTTTTTTCACAAACACTGTATCACTCTGCTGAGACGCTGTTGCTAAGCAACGACTTTGACAGCTGTAGGAGACGCTCAAGCCAGTTGAACATTTTTACTTCTTACTTTGCCACAAACAGAAAACGGATACTTTTAAGATCACATTTGACCGGCGGCCGATTTGGTCAGACTCTGAAGATCAGACTACACGTTTCGCAAATGGTATTGGGTTTATTTCTGGCTAATTCCAGGTTGTTTAGCTGTTCACACTGAAGGTCGTGTGTTATCGCCAATAACATCACGGCTGTGATAATCTACGGCGACCAAATCACAGCTGTGATGTTATTTCACGATAACACACTCTCTCTCGGGTTCTATTGCTTAAACATCTCAGTCTAGAACAGGGATTTGGAACCTTCTGCAACTCGCAGCCCACAAAACCAAGACCACAAACATTTTTGTGGCGCACAAGAAGATAAAACCAGCCCGACTGTTTTAAATGCAGAGTACAGTAATACAGTGAATTTCATTTGACTGTATAATCACACAGCATAACAAACCAGAAAACTGAAATATGCTGCACTGAAGATATAAACATATCTAATTCACTATGTCAGTTATATGTAACTTAACTAATTTGTAAATGTTTTTTTATTCATGCTAATAACTATAGCAACAGTAATATTGGTTATGTTTTAAAGTACTGGTTAAATTAAAAATGTTTATATTTAGTAATGAAGCTTTTAAAAAAAGGAAACATGACTGGACAACAAACTAACAGGTAAAGTTAGCGAGTTAGCCTAGCTTTGTAAATTACTTCTCTCTGTTTTAGCTCTGTTTTAGCTCCTTTTCTGTGGCTGAAAGGGTAAAAATCGTCTCTTTAGAGCTGAATAAAGACAGAATCTCTGTTTTCTTCGAGGATTGTGTGTTACACAAATGCTTCCTTTATTAGCCTGTAGCTCAGTGGCTACGCTAGCAGTCACGATTGGATGACATCACAGGGATTCCCGTTGGCTGTATGATGTACTTCAATAATGCATGCTGGGTACTGTAGTGAGAGAACACTAATAAAACACAAAGCATACAAAATGGTGTATTCATTCAAAATGAAGCCTATAACACTGCACTACAGAACACTACACTCTTAAAAAAGATGGTTCTTCACGGGTTCTTTAGTGAAGACAATGGTTTTATATAGCACCAAAAACTGTTACAAAGTCAAGCTTGTAATAACAGAAGAACCCTTTCCTAAAAGGTTCTATATAGAACCATCTACAGCACATTCTTCATCAATCTGAAGAACGCTTTCCTAAAAGGTTCTATATAGAACCATCTACAGTACATTCTTCATCAATCTGAAGAACGTTTTCCTAAAAGGTTCTATATAGAACCATTACAGCACATTTTTCACCAATCTGAAGAACCACTTCACGATACAAGAACACTTTAATCATGCAAAGCGTTCTTTAATGGGTTCATGGTTCTATATACAACTGTTTTCCTTATTAAAGAACCTTTAAAGAACCATCTTTGTTAAGAGTGATACACAACGCGACAAGTAACGTATTAAATGCCAGTTTTAGGCCGGAATGCCACAAAGAGTGAATGTGAATTTGTTTAAAGAACCTTCACATAATGGTTCTATTTTAAAGGTTTTTATGGACTTTTACTTGTAAACACAAACATTCGGAAGCAATAATCCTGCCGTAAAGATACCAGTGACATCTGTGCGATGGCCTCCACTACGGCATCGAACACCTTCACAGGCAGTCGCAGCAGCGTCGTCCCGCTGTCTACAATGGCTTTATCCGTGTTGTACTGAATAAAAAGGAAGAAAAAAGCAAAAAAAGGGGGCTGAAACTAGTCAAGGCCTGTAACAAACAAAAGGCTCGCCGTTCTTCTCAGGCTTTCATAACCCGGATTAGTGTGTTCTCACATCTACGCAACATGAAATTCAATGCTGTTTTTTTTTCCTCCCCGCAGCCTTGAAAGGCACAATCTTGGCCAAGTATTTCCAGGTGGAATGCTTTCAAGCCTCTACAAGGTCACATAATCTGTTATTCCCCTCCTCTCTCGCTTCCTCTAAATGGATGTGTTGGACTGAAAGGATTTGTTTAGGCTCAGAATAACGAACACAAAGGCTGCATCGTATCCGGTGGGCATAAAATAGTGTAACACGTTAAGGATGTTAATTATGAAGCACTGAAAGACAAATGGCACCTTGCAGTCTACAGCATTAAAGGGCCAATATCATGTAAAACCTTGTTTTTTTTTTATATAATAGTTTGCTGTAGGACATCAATACTGTAAAAGCTTCAAAACATAACATACAGCTCATATATGAAGACTATGGTGGAAAAACCAGCCCATTTTGAGTTAAATGTTTTTGTGATGTCACAAAATCCAACACATTTACATATATACATTTATTCAGCCTGCAGCAGATCAGTCCCACTCCCTCAAGTTAAAGTTAAAAGGAGCTCATTTACATATATCAGTCTTAAAGTAACACTATGTAGGATTTGAGGATTTGGAGCCCTCTCTGGTGGAAATATGTAACTGCACACAACATGCAGAAGAATATTTTTTAACAACTTCAGACCCCCACAAGAGGATGAATCTGACTTTCATGTGTGCATTTAAAGAGAATTCAGAGAGAATTCAGTCTAAACTTGGTGAAGGAGCAACTTCTGAGGATGTGAAATGAATTATCTACTATTATCATCACATCTTCATCAGTTTAATGTTGATTGAGATCGTTTGAGGCAGAAACATCGAGCCGGACCTTCTTTTTGAGCCTGTTTGTTACGTTAATACGTAAAGACGTACGATGTGGTGTGAAAAACTCGACGCCTCTGATTTTTAATTGATTATTTCAGGCTTTACAGGCGACTCGCAGTAGCTCACACTCAGTATATTTTAGTGTGTTTTTATTCTCCTCACTCAGTAACGACACTTCTCTCAGTTTTAACAACAAATATTACAAAGTGCAGAAAGGGTGTAAAATGAATTATTACTGATTTTGGCACATAAAACAACACAAACATCAAGCTAAGATAATAATTAAAAGAAAAACGGAAGATCTGGTACCTCCCTGCAGTCCAGGTTTAAATTTTGGTCACCAACTTCCAGTTTCAGGACCTCAACTTGGTAGTACCACTCCTGCAGGACTGGAGTGTACCACACCGAGCCCTGGTACAGCGTTGGTTCAATGCCTCCCATTATCTGAAACAAAAATAATAATAATAATAAGAATAATAAAGTACATTTTTACAAGTAACAAAGAAAAAAAATAGTAAATTACAAAGAAAAAAGGCAAAAAATAACAGTAATAAAAGGGGAATAGTATAATAATATAACCAGGGAAGTCCAATTATTTTTTTTAATAGGATTGAGATGCTTTTTAAAGTGCTCAGCCGGTCAGGTTTTCAGGTACAGCATGGCGGCGAGTGGTTGCCATAGTAACGGAAGCTGACCCTCACTCTCAAGCAGGGTTTCGGGGAGGACTAGCAGAGTCTGAAGACAGGAACATAATCTAACAATCACTCCGCTGCGGTAGATCATGAAGACATTTAAAAAGCAAATGAAATAAATCTTAAAATCACTCCAAAAAGCTATGAAAGCATCTCAGAGCGGAGTGTGATGTGTTCTCTTATTGTGCTGCATGTCAGGATCCCTCACATGTTGCTTTCTATGTAGCCCCCAGCCCATTCATTATGCCCCACTAAAGCCACTACCCTGCTTTTACTGTGAAACACAGCAAAAGAAACTAAACTTTGCGCCGATGTAAAAGGCTGCATCGTTTAATATAAGAGGATCTGAACGTATCAGTCTGCTACTTATATGTGGCATCATCATAGCTTTAATTGAATGATGCTTTTTTAATTCATGGTATCATTTCTCTTCTTGTCTACGTAAACAGCCAACAACAACCTACACGCAATGTAATGTACGATGTTCACAACAATGTACAATTCCATAAAATTTATTGGAAATAATTCAGTCTTAAATTTAAAAAAAAAAATATATATATATAGTTTTGTTTAGATCTGCCATGATTACCTGATTAAACCTTGAATTAACTGATTACTTTGTTAAAAAAAATAACAATTGAAATTACGTTCTCAGTGAATTGTTTAAGTGATTAGTTTGCAATCTGAATGATCAACAGAGCATCTGCAGGTCTTACAGTAGAAACAGAGCCTGATGGACACGTTGCCTCTGTTTTTTTTTTTTTTTATATACTCTTCCCATGTGAAATGATTTTAAATCTAGTCAAAATATCTAATATTTCTTATTTAAAGACTGTTTTGCTTACTAAAAGACTATCTGACTTATTTCTAGACATTTTTTTACTTGTTTCAAGTACTTTTATCTGACTATAATTGCAGGTAATTTTGCTTATTTTAATATTTAATACGTATTAAGTTTCAAGTTTATTTGTCATTTGCACACATGTCAGGACATTCATGCATTGAAATGCTTGTGGCAAGGCTCAGCTAATCACTCTACAGAAAGTAAACAAAGTAAAAATAAAAATGTAAGAAGAAAAAAAAATCCTCTCTGGTATGTACAAATATATTTATATTAAACAAGGGATAATCTGAAGAATATAATTTTACTTAATTAAAACAAGTAAGAACAATCTAGAAATGAGCTAAATAATCGTATATATTCCTACAGCCATCTCAAAATGGGAATTATTAGACGTATAGACTACGTTTAGCCTGACTTCACTTGTTAAGATCTGTTTAAAGTGTTTCCAAAGACTTCCTGTTTGTTTTAGCAACACATTCTGAACACCTGAAAGGCTCTGAACAGTTCACTATTGTTCACTTAAGCCTATTTTTATTGTTTGGCCAGATTAATCATCAAAATGAGCAGAAGATTATTTGAATACTAACTAACTCAGCACTGACAGCCCTAGTTTTGTTTATAATCAGCACTATTACGTGACCAAAAGAGTGAATTTATGATTTAATTAAATGATAAAAACCCACATCGTTTGATTGGTTTGACATATTTCTTCATATCTGATATGAAATTTCACATGTGGACATTAATGGGTTAACTTCATCTTTCCTTCTGTAAACAAACAGGTCAAACAGATCTAAAGCACGATACACCACATTATCCACCTGCTAGACTTCAGACGACACGACTACTTATCCTTTCAGAGCTGCCATAAACACTAACAGACTGGACGCTCAGCCGGGGCCTCTCTTTAGCTTAATTAGCCTCTTGCCTAACGAGGCACAGTCTCATGGGGGGGGCTGCCTGTGTGTAAAGGAGATGGGGGCTCACGGAGACGTCAGGTCTCTTTAGCAGCGCAGAGCTGTTAAATCTAATCAGCCTTTGAGGGCTTTTAGCTGATATGATTTGAGGGACAGTGAGACGCAGCTGCTGCCTGAGGTGCTAATCTATAGCTAGCATCCCACAGAGCGCATTAGCATTAAGCTCTGCCTGGTGGAACTCGGAGGACCTGCTGCTGAACTGGGAACAGCTGGAAGCTCATTCTGGTTTGGCTTGTTCATCATGAGGCTGTTCAGGATCAGAGAACTTGAAAAAGAGGGTTCTTAGTAAATAGAACCATGATTTCTATATAGAAACACTTCATGCTTAAACAGTTCTTTGCATGGTGAAACTGTTCTTCAGATTGATGGAGAATGTTTTGGTTCTATAAAGCACCAAAAAGTGTTCTGCTACTGTTACAAGCTTGACATCGTAACCACAGCAGAACCCTTTTGGTGCTATTTAGAACCATTTTTATTCTATAATAGAACCATATAAAACACATTCTCCATCAATCTGAAGAAGCATTTCACCATCTGAAGAGAACCACTGCCTTTACTGAGGAACCCTTGGAGAAGCATCTTTTCTAAGAGTGCACATCCAGAGCTGGATTAGCAGATGAGCTAGCATTCACCAGACTGCCCCCTGCTGGCTCGGATGTAGCGCTGACAGAGACTCCTGCTCCGCACATCTGGAGAGAGAAGACGTCTGGGATGCCGGTCTGCTGCACCAGGGAGTTGAAGAAGGGCTCCACAGACGGGTCTGGCTGGGAGAAACAACAACAACGCCTTTGTGAGACCCAAACGGCTTTATTTAATGCTGAAAACTGATGGTTTGGCCAAAAGTATGTGAAAAAGATTTCAAAAATGTACCAAATTCCACCCTCAGCTCCCAAATGCAGTCGGTAAGAAATTAGCTTCTTTAGTTTTAGCACTGAAGCTACTAGGCTTCATCTTACATAATGCAAAAAATATATCTTGGCAAGAGAAATGACACTACATCTACCTAATATATCTAGTATTTCTCATGTTGAGATTGTTGTAAGCTAATTATATGACTACTTAACTTATTTCTAGATGGTTTTATTCATTTCAAGTAATTTTGTCCTTTTTCCCTGATAGCAAGAGGATAGTGGACCACTGTTGCCCTGCTGATGGCAAAGCTGGTGATCCACTGGTGTTTTGCTCAGCATTTTCTGGGCGGCCCACCAATGGTAAAGCGGAGTATTTGACAAAATTCCAGTTATTATTGCTCACTGTCCGCTCACAGTTTAATTTCTTATTTTTCCTTCATTCCTTTCTTTAATTATACTTTGTAAATTAGTTTAGTGAATAATTTTAATCTACTACGGTGTCAACATTTTCTATAAAATCATTTTATATGAGGACATTTCTATTATTTTTTCTCTCGGTTGTTTGTAATATTTGTCTTATTTTCCAAATTAAAAGTCTCTGTGCATTTAAAATCTGTTTGAGAAGATTAGACTAGGTAGAGCTTGTATGCAGGAAAGTAATCTGGGTGGTCCGAGGGTGGACCTACAGTGGCAAACAATCAGCGGGGTGCCGACCTTATCAAGCCAGCTGACCGATAAATGCTCGCTATCTGGGCTGGGAGATATTTTGACTTGTTTCTAGCATGTTTCTTACAAAAAGTAAAATTATCTGCCAATATAGTGAGTAATTTCACTTGACAAAATTACTCAAACCAAGTACAAAACGTCTACAAATTAGTTATATAATCTTATAATAAGGTTACAGCATCTCAACATGAGAAATCTTAGATATTTTGACTTGGTTTAAGATAAATTCACTTGCCAAGACACCATTTTTGCCGTGTAGACCACTAATTAGAAGAATACTAGACGAACGTTGTTCTATTTGTGGCCTAGTGACACCCCTGGCTCTGGTGCTACATGGCTAATGTACAGTAATGGAAGTGTATACCCAACCAGTTATCGTGATGCTAACTGCATAGCTAAATCATCACTCTCTCACCTCAAACCGTGTGGAGGTGTTCAGTTTCTCTATTAGACTCGATTATCTCTACTGTTCAAAAGTTTAGATTCACCTGTAATTTTAATATCTTTACTTATTTTATATACAATGATAACTTAGTTATAGGTTTGGTTACCTGTGGAAAACCTGCTTAAGGTGGTTTATTGAAGAGCCTTAGTAAAAACAGCAGCGCTGGAAACCACTTAATCAAGTCTATTAGAGATACTGAACAGCTCCGCACGTTGATTTAGACGTGCAGTTAGCACCATGCTAATCAAGGGGGCTGTAAGCTTACTAATGTTAGCTACATTAGCCTCGTAGCTCCAGTGCTAAAACTAAAGAAGGGTCATTCTACAGAAACGTCCATTTTTGTGTCCCTAGCGTTTACAGACATATTGCACTTAAAAAAAACATGGTAGGGTGACAATTTATTTATATTTTAAAATAAAAGCAATAAGTTACTTTAACAATTACACCTTCCTGAGCATCAATTTAGCAATATTGGTTTTTAAATCAATTATCTAGAATTCCGAGCACCACAGAAGAGCTCATCCTCACAGTCATGTGTAAAGGCTGAGGCCATATTTTGTAAAAAAGGAAAAAAAAAAAATTCTGCAATTTTAACTACAATAATCTATACATGACTATGGAATATATAAATTAAATGACAAAGAAAAGAAATGCCAAATAAATATTATAAAATATATAATGAAAGTTCCCCAGGAGTCATGTCACTGGTGTTACTGCGTAACAAAAACTCTCTTATTTTGAAATAAAAGTCACATTGATGATATCATTTGACTTCTTTTTACCTGTTTTCTGAGGATCTATGAAGAAAAGCACATGGTGAGTCCACTGTGTCTCTCAGTTATCAGAGATTTTCTCATTTAGCTCATGATTTCATATGAAGCTTTTAGCTGAAGTCACTGGTGTGATCTATTTATTCTGAGGTAATTGTGAAAAAACAGAATACAAATGGATTAAATTCCATATTTTAGTGGATATTCCATGACTGAAAACATGTGGGTTGATATTCTGTAGCAGCTGTTCTGTAAAATGCATTTTTCATTAAAAATGTCTCTGGTGTTACCTTTATTATGTGTAACACCAATGAGGATCAGTAACACCAGTGACATCTATGGAGAGACAGAAAAGTGGACGTTTCTGTAGAATGACCCAGAAACCAAAACATATCTTGATCAATAGTAATATTTGAGGTAAGAGGAAAAATATGGGCTTAATTTTTTGATAAACTATTGCTTGAATCTGAAATTTTATGGAAGTTGTGTGTAATAAATAAATTCAATGAATTAAAACCTCTAAGTAAAATATACGCTAAAAATCTAAAACACTTATTTGCGTAATTTTGCGTAGCTGTTTTTTGCATTTTGGTCATTTAAAATTACAAAATAAAAAGACATAAAATATAAAATAGCCGATTTACATGCGACAGTCACACACGACATCTACTACTTTCAGGGGACGTTAGATTATTCCAATAGGTCATGATTTGAGATGCAAATGCAAGAAATTTGATGTCTTTTTTAAATCAAGCATTTACTTAGTGCCACTTAGTGGGAATTCAGGTGGATACATTTTTTAAAAATCAATATCTTTAATCTCAAAACTAAATCTTAACATGTTAATGGACATCTCCTATTATCATATATGCAGAAATATGCTAAATTCCAAACATATTTTAAAGTCATTGGTGTTGTATGAATGTGGTGTAACTCCAGTGACGGTGACTCCGGTGACATTCTGGTTAAAACGAAAAGGATTCTGTAAATTGTCTGACTCGTTGGCTGATCTGGTGACCTTGTGCAACTTTTTAAAATCAGTAATAAAAATTATATTTTGCATTATTTTGACAAAATTTTTATTACCCAGCCATTAAAGCACATAACACCAGTGACGCATAGAAATTATGAGCTGCCTGATAAACAAAATTATTAATAAACTAATGAAATATAGTGAGCGAGTGTGACTCGTCTTCTCATGCCTTGAGATGCTTCCACTCTGATCAGCCTCGACCCAAAGAGAGTTTAATAGAGTTAAAAATACTGTGTTAAAATGTGAAATAAGAGTCCTGATAACACCAGTGACCAAAATCTCTGTGACAGATTATTTTTTAAAATAAAATACATTAATACATTATAATACACTGATCAGGCATAACATTATGACCACCTCCTTGTTTCTACACTCATTGTCCATTTTATCAGCTCCACTTACTATATAGGTGCACTTTGTAGTTCTACAATTACAGACTGTAGTCCATCTGTTTCTCTGCAGACTTTGTTAGCCCCCTTTTACCCTGTTCTTCAGTGGTCAGGACCCCCATGGACCCCCACAGAGCAGGTACTATTCGGGTGATGGATCATTCTCAGCACTGCAGTAACACTGATGTGGTGGTGGTGTGTTAGTGTGTGTTGTGCTGGTACGAGCGGATCAGACACAGCAGGGCTGCTGAAGCTTTTAAACACTGTGTCCACTCACTGTCCACTCTATTAGACACTCCTGCATTGTTGGTCCACCTTGTAGATGTAAAGTCAGAGACGATAGCTCATCTGCTACTGTTCCTCTAGTCCTTCATCAGTGGTCACAGGGTGCTGCCCACAGGACGCTGTTGGCTGGATATTTTTGGTTAGTGGACTATTCTCAGTCCAGCAGTGACACTGAGGTGTTTAAAAACTCCAGCAGCACTGCTGTGTCTGATCCACTCAGACCAACACAACACACACTAACACACCACCACTATGTCAGTGTTACTGCAGTGCTGAGAATGATCCACCACCCAAATAGTACCTGCTCTGTGAGGGTCCATGGGGGTCCTGACCACTGAAGAACAGGGTAAAAGGGGGCTAACAAAGTATGCAGAGAAACAGATGGACTACAGTCTGTAATTGTAGAACTACAAAGTGCACCTATATAGTAAGTGGAGCTGATAAAGTGAGTGTAGAAACAATGTTATGCCTGATCGGTGTGTATTAAAATACATTAAGCCCTTCAACCTTTGTGACATGGTTCCTCACTCCGAATGGAGAATGACCCAAATATTTTATTATAAGTTATCAAAAAACCAAAGGTCTGATATTGTTTAAGAGGTTGTTAGACGAGAGTGTGTGACCTGAAAATACATCAGCATTGATGGGAGATCATTCTGTTCCTTATTACTACGATGAAATATGATTAGCATTAGATGGCCGTATGTTTTATTGATTTATACTGAGTGCTAAAAGTCTGGGAAAGTTTTCCTCAGGGCCAAGAGAAGCACTTTTAACATTATTTATTCAGACTGACAGATACTTACAATTAGCTGTTTTTAAAGCCTACAAAGAAAAATCTTAATAATAAGCAATTTATTGCAATGTATTGCGAAAGAAATCATCTTAAATGCAGTCGATAGATCTAATATTTCCCATAATTAGACTGCTGTAAAAATATCGTAAGATTATTTAACTTATTTCAAGATATTTTTACTTGTTTTAAGTAATTTCATCTGGAGAAAATTATCCACTGGCAGTTTTGGGAAATATTGGAGATGATTCTTGCTTATTTAAATAAATAATACTTGAAATAAAATGGTCTGCCAATGGAATAAGACACTTTAGTAAGATAAATGTGCTTAAAACAAGTATAAAAGTCTGGAAATAAGTTAAATAATCTAACGATTACTACAACCTCATAATGAGAAATATTATATATATATTGACTATGTTTGAGATGTTTTCACTTGCTTGGATATGTTTTTTTCAGTGTTTACGGATGGTCAACAGCACAAATGCAGAACATGTTTCCGTCCCACGGTTTACAGTGTAAATATGCGTAACTGTGTTTGCAGCCACTCCTTAAACAGATCATTTACTGCGTCATCAGAAATCAGACTGAGCCAAATCAAACACGACCCAGACCAGCAGCGCAGGCGGCATTTCTCTTACCCGAGCCAGTAATGGGTACGCCAGCCCCAGGATGCCCTGCCAGTTGATGCCGGGCAGAAAGAAGCCGTCGGAGGTCAGTATGGCAGCGATGTTGATCTTTGATGGTGCCGTTGGGACCCTGAGGGATGGTGATTATGTCAGTGCCCAGCTCCCCCTCCCAGTTCCCCTGTGTGTACCGGACCGCCACAGCACGCCCACTGGTCCGGTAGGTGCTGGAGCTGGACATGTTAAAGAAAGAGTGAAAGAAGGTGGTCAGAGCGTCAAAACACAACGTTCCAAATAATTAATTGACTGTAAAAAGACAAAAATACAGATTTTACTACAAACTTAGTCGCACAAATGATGTATGATGAAATATTGTGCGTTCTGTGTGTTAAAAGTTCCAGCCTTACAATGTAATAATAAAAAAAATATTCATAGCATTTAAAATAAAGCTCACCAATATCAGATAAATAGGCAATAAATAAATAAATAAATATATAAATAAAATAAAAGCACTGAATAAGGAAGCAAAAAATCAAAATGTAATAAAAAAAAACAAAAAAAAACAACAACACAAAAACAGAACAATTCTATAAATGAACAAATAAAAGTGACAAAAATAAATAATAAAAATAAAATAATAATAAAAACACAGGTAAAACAAGGAATTAAAGGGCCAAAAAAAAAAACCCAAATATTAACATATGTGATATATATATATATATATATATATATATATATATATATATATATATATATATATATATACACACACACACACACACACACACACACATACACACACACACACACACACACACACACACACACACACACAGCTGATGACCACTATCACACATCACACTAGGTGGTGCTGTGTCTTGTAGTTTAATATATATTCACAGTTATACTGCTCAGTAAAGTATTTTCCTATCATATTGTAGTGTGATAAATGACCGTTTCACTGCAGTTCCAGCAGATGGCGCAGTTCTGCACTTTCCCACCCCAACAGCCGATGACTGGCCACTTGAGTGACTTTTGTTTTCAAAATTTGGTGAGAAATTACAATATAATAAAACATACCAATGTTCAGTAAATACAATAATTTACTATTAATAAATTGCAATTAACAGTTCTTCTGCAAAACAGTGTAGTTCATTAACAATGTTAGCATTAGCTAAAAATACTAGCAGCAGCTTGAAGCCTGAATGTCTGTACTTTAGTCCTTGTTTAAGATAACAGTGAGTCACACAGCATCAGAAGCCACATAATCAAGTCCATTAGAGATACTGAACTACATTTGGGGTCCGTCAGTTCTAATCAGTTGAGTCAGTCAGGAAAATCAATGAGCTAAAGATGAGAGTGAGCGATCAGGTGATCTTACAGTGCTCTGTTGAAGTAAGTTGTGACGTAGGGATGCGAAGCTGCAGCCACTGCGAAGTTGCTGCTTCCAGTGTCCACCAGGATGTTCAGCTGAAACACAAACACATCAGCGCCGTCAGGTTGATCAGTCACACTGTGGGCCGACCCAAAGCTCAAACACAGAGAAGCCCCGTAAATGGACATTAGGGCTGTAACGATTAATCAATTACACTTAACCTTTGATAAAAAATCTCAATTAAAATGTACCTTCTGAGTTCTGAGTTTGTACATGTCTGTTTTACAGTAAGGAGTAAGGAGGCTTAGAGCTGCCGCCACTGTTTTCCATTCCTAACAACTACCTGGAACCTGCTAGGACTTCGGCTCATGTTCACAGTCAGTGATGTATCTAGAAGGTGTTGCTATGTTGTCCCAGGTGGTTTCTAAGGTGTTGCTAGGCCGTTGCTCTGGTATCTAGGCTGTTGCAAAGGTGTTGTAATGTGCAATGCTATTCCCAGGTGGTTGCTAAGGTTTTGCAAGGCTGTTGCTGTGGTATCCAGGGGGTTGTTATGGTGTTGCTAGATCATTGCTATGGAATCGTATGTGGTTGCTAAGGTATTGCTTTGTTATCCCAGATGTTTGCTAAGATGTTTCTGGGGCATTGCTATGGAATCCCATGTGGTTGCTAAGGTGTTGCAATTTTAATCCCAGGTGGTTGCTACAATGTTTCTAGGCCACTGCTATCGAATCCCAGGTGGTTGCTATTAAGGTGTTTCCGGGCTGTTGCTATAATAGCCCAGGCGGTTGCTAAGGTGTTGCTAGGCCATTGCTAAGGAATCCCAGGTGGTTGCTATTAAGGTGTTGCTAGGCCATTGCTAAGGAATCCCAGGTGGTTGCTAAGGTATTGCTTTGTTATCCCAGGTGTTCGCCAAGATGTTTTTTAGGGCATTGCTATGACATCCCATGTGGTTGCTAAGGTGTTACCAGGCTGCCCAGGTGGTTGCTAAGGGTTGCAATGTTAATCCCAGGTGGTTGCTACAATGTTTCTAGACCATTGCTATAGAATCCCAGGTGGTTGCTAAGGCATTGCTTGGCCATTGCTATGGTATCCAGGGTTGTTAAGGTATTGCTAGGCAACTGCCAAGGTATTTTAGGTGGTTGCTAAGGTGTTGTTAGGCCATTGCCATGGTATCCAGGGTTGTTAAGGTATTACTAGGCAATTGCTATTGTATTCTAGGTGGTTGTTAAGGTGTTGCTAGGCTTTTTGTCTACGAGGGTCAGTGTTAGAGATCGTGGCAGTCAGAGTAGAAATTCCTCAATGTTTCCACCATTCATTTCCTTTGGGAAACAAGTCGTGTTTGGCTACAGAAAATCTGTACGTGCCATTAGTCCCATAAGCACAAGCATAATTCCCATATAGACCCTACAGTCCTGCAAAGATTGTGGTTCTAGCTTGAGACCTATGAAAAAGAAAAACAAGAAACAAAAACAAAACAAAACAAAAAAGAATAATAACACTAAGAACAGTAAGACAGTTTTGTCATACCACCTAAAAATAATATTCTTATTTTCTCCCAAAGATCTTTGAAATGCAAGACACTACTTTGTGCAGAAGGCAAGAAAAACCCCAGATTTTTTCAGGACTGCCTGTGAAATGCAGCACTGGTATTCTAAGGCCCAGTCCCATTTCTTCTTTTTACCCCTACCCCTTGCTTTCCAGTGTCACCCTAACCCCTTGTAACTCAGAGTTACAAGGGGTAGTGGTTGAAATCTTCCCTAAGAAATGGGACCCTCAACATTACTTCATTAACAGCTACTAGCGCTGCTCTGTAGGCGACCCTGCCAGTCTGCAGTGACAGCAGAGGAGTGTAAAGTTCAGCTCCTCACTGCTGGGCTTTAGTTACATTTAGGGCATCATACGCCTTCAAACAGGGGGTCAATTATTCATTATCACCCACCGCTAATTCTTCAGTGATATGAAGCTGAAGTCAGATATTCGCCAGCTTCTCGTTCGAATTTTCCCGTTCCACCTTAAATGGAGCAGCTGTTACATTCTGGCGCTTCAGGCGTCAGAACTGCTGCTACATTTAAGGTGGAACGGGAAAGTTAGCTACCGAGACATTAGCATACCATTAGCGATTTTTTATGCTTGTTATGGAGAAAAGGACCATAATACACTGAAACGACATTAAACTAAGATAATACAGTGGTTATCGTAATTTTTAACAGAGAAAATTCACATTTGTGGGTTTCTTTGGTCTCTTGTTCAGCCATCTTGCCGGTTTTTCTTTTTTTCTCACAACAGTTTCAAGTGTCTCTAAAAACCTCCATTTGGAGGGTCATGTATCCCTAACAATTCACCCTACCCCTCTATCTCAATAAGAATTGGGACACCCTACCCCTAGACGTGAACGCGCAAAACAGAGGGCTAAGGGCTGAGTGGTAGGGGCGAGGGGTGAAATGGGATTGGGCCTAAATATCTACTTTTCTTTTCTGCTTTAATAGTTACTAGTTACTAAAGATACTTATGATGTGCTCCGGAGAGCATCATTAATTATGATGCTTATCAAAGTACCGACAACATATAATCATCTCGCCCATCTCTAACAGCTTGTCTTTAATCTAAAAGAGAAAATGGAAAACAGCCGTAACTGATCCTCGATGAATGTGGTTTTGAAAACTGGTTCAAAACACTGCTTGACCTCTAAACACTTCCATCATCACACTGCTGTGAAGGTAGACGGTACTGCTGGCACGGCCCTTCATTCTCTCTCTCTCTGTCTCTCTCCCTCCCCCCTCTCTCTCTCTCTCTGTCCCTCTCTCTCTCTCTATACATATGCTCCTGTTTGGCAGGCGCGTGCTAGCGAGTGGTCGGAATAATGTTGTCGGAGTGCCGGTTCAACGAGGGGGAACTAATGAGATAACAGAGCAGTGCCATCTTGCCGAGTGGGCAGAGGGGCCATTATGGGCATTCCTCATCGTTAACTCCATCATAATAAACCCACCAATTGGGCTCCGCTACGGTGCACACTGCCTAACATCTCCCACTGTCCCATTTCAAATCAGTTAGGCTCGTCTCCACCAGCGCTCAGCCTAATGGCTTATTATCTGAATGAAACAATCGGAGGAGGAACACTGATTACATTCAAACAGTGCATTCTATCTGATTTAAAGGGGAATTCCAAAGACTTTTCAAAATTCCTGCATAATTAAATGGTTGAGATGTAAATAGAGTGGTTCAGAGTGGTTTGGTGTGAAACGCTCCATTCTAGAGAAACTTATCGAGTCAGAATTGTTCACAGTGGTGGTGATAGGAACCAGACATCCACCTTCAAAAGTTCTATATGGACAAAAGTATCGGGACACCGACACATCACACCTATAGGAGCTTTTATGAAACCCATTCTATATCCATAGGCACCAATATGGAGTTGGTCCCCCCTTTGCAGCTTTAACAGCTTCCACTCTTCTGGGAATCTTTTGGTCAGTGTCTGTGGGAATTTTTGCCCATTCATCCAGAAGAGCATGTGTGACGTCAGACACTGATGTTGGATGAGAGGGTCTGGCTCACAATCTCCATTCTAGTTCATCCCAAAGGTGTTGGATGTGGTTGAGGTCAGGGCTCTGTGGGGCCAGTCAAGTTCTTCCACACCAAACTCACCCAGCCTGACTTTAAGGAGCTGCTTTGTGCACAGGGGCTCAGTCATGCTGGAACAGGAAAGGTTCTTCCCCAAACTGTTCCACAAAGTTGGAAGTGTACAACTGTCCAGAATGTCTTGGTGCTGAAGCATTAAGGTTTCCCTTCACTGGAACTAAGGGTTCTAGACCAAGCCCTGAAAAACAGACCCATATCATCATCCCTCCTCCACCAAACTTTACAGCTGGCACAGTGCAGTCAGGCAGGTAACGTTCACCTAGCATTCACCAAACCCAGACTCGTCCATCAGGCTGACAGATAGAGAAGCTGATTCGTCACTCCACAGAATACGTTTCCACTGCTCCAAGTCCAAAGGTGGTGTGCTTTACTCCACTCTCAGGACAAAACAGTCCCTGAAAAAAACATTGTGGCCCCTGGTTCTAATCACCACCATGACTTTGTTTACATCTAAACCTCTGGATTTGGAAAAAATAATAAAAAAAAATATTGGTGGAATTCTCCTTTAAAATGAGGCAAAAGAGACTTGCCCTTATGCCTAGAATGTCTTTTCTCATTTTTTATGCAACCTTACAAAGTAATTGGGCTCTCAATCGATTTCTAATGGACTTCCATAGCAGGTTTAAGGTGGAATAATCCGACTACGCCAAAGGAAATTCTGTAAGAAAGTAGGAAGGTGGAATAATAGCTGGGTCAAATGGACCACCTTCTTTTATCTAGTGCTCTGCAGAAGGAAATGTTCCTTCAGTAAAGGACGGAGCGCCAACAAAGCACTTCCGTGTGTCTTAAGTTCTTGTTTGTTTGCTCGGCTGCTCCAGCTCTTGCCTGACCAGATCGGTCTGTTTTCTGAAACTCTGCCTGAGCGTCTCGGCCTGACACCTGATAACAGGACCCTGGGCAGCAGTGCCTCGTCCTGCGGCCTGTTAGTCCTTCGTTTAGGCTGGTGTTCCCTAATCTAGTCCTTGGAGACCCTCAGATGGTCTACATGTTTCCCAACTCCCAGCAGCTGTACTGTACTATTACACTATACTATACAAATATTCCCTAATGGTAAATAAATTTGATTATTAAAATATTAGAAAACGGAACCCTCACACTTCCTCTGAGGAACCAATGTTTGTTTTATTGTTTTTTTAACTCCAGTGGTACAAAACTTTCATCATAAGAGTGTAAAATTATGTTTTCATTTTTAAGACGATGTTTAAAGAGGCGATGTTTGCTCTAATGGTCCGCTCAGGGTTGCCAGATTGGTGTTTTAATGCAACCTGCTATGAAAATAATTTTTTATTGGTGATATTTTTTTAATTTCTTCGTAGTTTTAAGTTTTATTAAAAAGCAAAATAAGTACATATATTATAGTAATAATATAGTAATATTAATAAAAACAACAATAACCATTCAGTTATTAAAGTCAGTGAGCTAATTTCTAGGGATGCACCGATATGGGAATTCCGATACC